TAATCAGCAGCTCGTTAGTTTCTTCCATGACCTCCATACCACAAGTGTACCAGGTATGCATGCTCAAGAGGAGGGAAGTGTTGGAAAGTTTTGTTTAAATTTAAGAAAAGTGATAACTTTTAGCTTGACCCAGAGTGTTGGTTGGTTTGTTTTTGTGACAAATACCCTACAGGAGCAATTTGGAGAACAACAACTTTTTTTTTGCTCAAGGTTTCACAGCACGGAGGGATTCTTGGGATAAACATTGGGGATGATCTTGACTGTGATGGCAGAAACCGAAGGATGCTTTCTCATATCTCTGAGGATGATGCATATCCCATTTTCTACCTTCCAATGTCCCACAACATCTCCAAATAGTGATCACAGCTGGAATCCAAATACATGTGACTGTAGTGTACATTCTCATGCAGACATTATCACTCTACATGTAACATCTGTAAGCACGTACTTGTCTTCATTTTGATGGGGCAATGAGACCTATCCAGTCTACTCCCCAGCTTCACTAAAGAGTCCGGACCTGTTGTTTAAAGAGAAGGTTCAGTGATTGCTCATTTATGTGGAGGACAATAAGCCAAAAGAGATGTGCAAATAAAAAGGGAAATTTTAGTTATGGATTCTAAAGGAGAAGGGGAGTCTTTCTGGGAATAGTTGGAGTCTGTCATGAGACAGAAACGGTAAGACAAAATTATGTGTAGTGGTATTTCATTTGTATTTTACTAAATAAAGCTCACCTGAAGTTCAGAGAGTATCTTAGTTGCACTGATCAGCCTTATAAACCAGGCAGTGGTGACACACACCTTTAATCCCAGTAGACACACTAGTTTGCCAGAGAAACTGGACAATAGTGGTGCACGTCTTTAATCCCAGCACTAGAGAGAAGTGTAAAATGGAGGAGACAGCTCTCCAACAGTCTTGTTCTGAGATTCTTGGAGGCAGGATCACCATATCGGACTGAGGCAGGGGTAAGAGTCAGTGACTGACTGTTTTGCTTTTCTGACTTTCAAGTTGAACCCCACTTTCTGTCTCTGGATTTTTTTTTATTACAAATATGGGTGTGGTCTAGAAGTGCATAATTTTAGTCTTTTGAGCAGATTATGGGTCAAAAGCTGTCCTCTGGTGCTTGTTACCAGCTCCTAAAGTGAGTAAAGTTAAATGGTGTTGCCTGAGTGCTTATAAGGGCCCTGTCTTAGTCATGTTTTGTTACCTTGTGAAATACCCAAGAAAATAGCTAATAGCAATGTATTATTTTGAATTATCACTTAGGACATGGCTTTGGCTCCCTTGCTGTGATGGTGTCATGAGGCAGGACACTATGGCTGCTGTATGTTAAATAGCTAAATTTCAGCAAAGACCCTAGTCATGAAACTATCAAGACAGAACATAAAAAGGCACAATTACTGTGTTAGAAAATATTATCCAATATATGCAATGATCGCTAGTAAGATAGTACATATTTCCAGAATTAACAACAGCATTATATTTAGTGCTTAACTATGTTAGTCAATGTTAGCAACAGGCACATGAGAGGCTATCAGATGGGACACCTCTCCTTACTGGGTCTATAAAAACAAAACAAAACAAATACAAACACCCAGAACAAGTATCTTGTCCAAGGTGGTATAAAAACTCAACACAAAACTTTAGTTGCCCTAATAATGGAAGCAGAACAGTGTACCTGAGGATTCTAGGAAATAAAACTTGAACTCACAGTGCTCTTTTAAGTTTCTTTGCCATGATGGTGGAGAGAAACAAAACAAGCGCTTAGAATTGAAAGCAGCCTATGCCTTTATTTATTTATGTACTTTTTTTTTTTAAAAAAAAGGACACTGACTTTTCCCATTTTGCATACCAGTTCCCGTTTCCACTCCTCCCTCTTGTCCTGTTCTGTCCACCTTCTCCCTCATCCCAACCCCCCATCTAATCCTCAGAAAGAGTAAGGCTTCCCATGGGGAGGCAACAAATTCTAGCACATTGCTTTGAGACAGAACCAAGATCCTCTCCACTATATCTAAGTAGCAATAAATTCTGGTATCGCTACCAGTGGCTACACACTCTTCCCAGCTATACAGTTGCCACCCACATTCAGAGGGCCTAATTTGGTCCTATGCTGGTTCCCTTGCTACCAGCCCAGAGTTGGGCTCCCATTAGCTCAAGTTAGTTGTTTCAGTGGGAATCTCCTTCATGAGAAATGGAGGGTGGAGTAGAACTTGAGGGAACAGATGGTCGACATGGCAGAAAAAGAGCAAGGAAAAAGATATTTTCATTGAGGGAGCTGTTAGGGGGCTAGCAAGATATCTGGCACTAGAAAAATTCCCAGAAATTCACAAAAATGACCTCAGTTAAGACCATAAAAAATAGAGGAGAGGTTGCCTGAACTGGTCTTGTCAGATTGATGACTATCTGAAATATTACCATAGAACCTTCATCTGGCAACTGACAGAAGCAGATCAGAGATCCACAACGGAGCACTGGACTGAGTTCCCAAAGTCCAGTTGAAGAGTGGGAGGTATGAAATTATGAGCAAAGAGGCAGCTGAGACTTTTTGACAGGATCGTGTTGAAAGCAGGATCTCCTTCAGGGAGACCCTTAATATGCTTAATAGGCTAATGACAGTTGGGGTTGCTAGAAGCACACTTGAACTTGGGAAGGCCACATTTCTGTCTTCTGTGTCCTATGATAATGCTGCTGGTAACATATGTTCATTTACGCTGGGGATTTCATCACCAAGGGCAGTGGTGAAGCCCATCCTCCAGTGGTATGTATGGAGCTGACAGATGGGAGTCTGGACTTGCCTTTGTTCCTGGCTCCTTTCCAAGGCTCACTGGGGACAATCTATCATCCTAATTGTTCTTTTGCTTTGACATTCTTGCACAGCTCTTCGTTCCCTTATATTAGTCCATTCCTTAAAACAAAGCAAAGAATTGAATTTCTTTCATAAAATGAGTATGTTGTCTATAAGATGAATTGAGGACAGCAAACATTGGCATAGTTCTCTTGATTTCTCCCTCATCGTCAAGTCTTTAACTCTCCTGCAACAGAGGAAGCTTAGTGTGCCCTGGATAAACTGACTCTTGTCATGTACCTCTGGTCTTAGCTCAAGCTGTTCTCACTATCCTTCTTTATTTTGTTCATCAACTAGTACCAACCTGGAAAATATGACCTTCTTCTTTAAAATCCCCCAGTGATTTCCCAGCACTATGCTACTCTGTCAATGGGGTGTGGTGCCAATATCTTGTCTCACAGTGATGAACATAGGTTATTGTACATATATGTTCCCCTATTATTTACCATTTTAATTACCTTCCCCCAGGGTCAAGGATTACATTTCTCATCTTTATATTTCTAGTACTTTAGTAATATGTCTAGCTTAGAAGTTTCAAAAATAGAAACGTTGATAATAATACAAACATCAAACATTTGCTCAATTTTTGCAACAAGCTAGGTTTATTTTAAATATTTATTTGCATTAGCTTTTATCCTCACAACCTTAAGGAATGAGTGAAGTTGCTATTTGTTTTACCAGTGAGGAGAAAAAACTCGGCCATAGAAAATATGAATAACTTGCCCAGTGTTGTAACTAATCTTGTCCAGTTTTAGAATGTTGTAAACCTCTCCATTCTTTGTTTCTAAACTCCCTCCATTCTTTGTTTCTAAAATGTTCATAGAAGCAAAATGGTAACAAGAGAGATTGGGATATATTATATGCAGATACATGGTTCCTGATCAACCAGTTAAATTGATAAATTATGCTTAGAAATTACTACTGGAAATAATGCAGAAAATAACTTATTTTTCCCTAATTGTACAAAATCCATAACAATAAGGACACAAGTCATTATCCCAATAACACCCATTTTTTCTGTAAATAACATTTGATATTTATAAAAGTGACTTAGCGGGTGACCCATCTACTCCAGATATTAGACTATATTATACTGAGTAACTGAGTTACACATATAAATCTTTATGGAAGCTCATGCTCAGATTAATTTTGAAACATATTACCTGCTAACTTTTGTTCTATACTACCACGTTCACAAGATGTTTCTACTGTGGGACCAATCTGATGAGCTCTGTGTCTTAGTTTTGCACTTTAACCATATGGCTTCTTGTAAGTTTCTTCTCTTCAAAGGGGAGAGAATAGTGTCCAAGTCAGAGGAGTGTCTTAAACACTGAGAAGATACTAGGGATTGACATGTACATGAACTATGTACAGTTGTAAATCAGATGACTGTTAGACATTTCTTGTTAAAGATCAGTTGTCATCAATTAAAAATTCTTAATAATTTTTAACAAGGCATCACACATTTTCCTTTTTGTTAGACACCAGAAACTAGTCATTCCTGGATAACTTTATTTATGAATTCTATAGCTTGCTACAGAGGAAGATTTCATAGATAGACTCCTTCTTAGTGATTTTGTATGGGAAGTTTTAGTTGACTGGTTTTTGTAACTAAATATTATTTTACATACATTTCTCATCTAAGATGGACACTGAAGAAGAGGACGAAATTCATGATATACACTACTATGCATTGGCTTCTAAACAGTTGGTAGTTGTTAACCACTACATTGGGGCTCTCCGTCTCAACATTCCATTTCTTTTTGATTAATCATCTGATTATATACAACCGGTGATTGGATGGTAAATTGGACTACAGAAATAATTATCTGTGAATATTGGCAACATACCCCACCAAGAGTTATTAAATTTGTTTGCCATAAAAGCTATTAAATTAATTAAATAAAACTTAATGCAGATAAAGAACTTAAAATATTACCTAGCACACTGTGAAAACTTTAAGCATTGTTATCATCACTGTTTCTACTTTTGGTGATTCTCAGCCAGACATCTTGCTTAGTACTGGGAATATAAAGATGAGGAATGCAATTAGTTAAGTTTAATGTTAATTTTACCAATATTGGCTTTAGCTCATACAAATATGTTACTAGGAAGATATTTGAAGAAGTAATACTTTTTGGTTTGTCTTGTTTTTCAGACTGTTTGAACTCCAGAAGGACCAACACCAGATAAATTATGAATGTTGAACAAGATGACCTTACATCCACAGCAGATAATGATAGGTCCTAGGTTTAACAGGGCCCTATTTGACCCCCTGCTTGTGGTGCTGTTGGCTCTTCAACTTCTTGTGGTGGCTGGTCTGGTTCGAGCTCAAACCTGCCCTTCAGTGTGCTCCTGCAGCAACCAGTTCAGCAAGGTGATTTGTGTTCGCAAGAACCTCCGTGAGGTTCCCGATGGCATCTCCACCAACACAAGGCTGCTGAACCTCCACGAGAACCAAATCCAGATCATCAAAGTGAACAGCTTCAAGCACTTAAGACACTTGGAAATCCTCCAGTTGAGCAGGAATCATATTCGAACCATTGAAATTGGGGCCTTCAATGGTTTGGCGAACCTCAACACTCTGGAACTCTTTGACAATCGTCTTACTACCATCCCGAATGGAGCTTTTGTGTATCTGTCTAAACTGAAGGAGCTCTGGTTGCGCAACAACCCCATTGAAAGCATCCCTTCCTATGCTTTTAACAGAATCCCTTCTTTGCGCCGCCTAGACTTGGGGGAATTAAAAAGGCTTTCTTACATCTCAGAAGGTGCCTTTGAAGGTCTGTCCAACTTGAGGTATTTGAACCTTGCCATGTGCAACCTCCGTGAAATCCCTAACCTCACGCCGCTCATCAAACTGGACGAACTAGATCTTTCTGGGAACCATTTGTCTGCCATCAGACCTGGCTCTTTTCAGGGGTTGATGCACCTTCAAAAACTGTGGATGATACAGTCTCAGATTCAAGTGATTGAACGTAATGCCTTTGATAACCTCCAGTCATTAGTGGAGATCAACCTGGCACACAACAATCTAACATTGCTGCCTCATGACCTCTTCACGCCCTTGCATCATCTAGAGAGGATACACCTTCATCACAACCCATGGAATTGTAACTGCGATATCCTGTGGCTCAGCTGGTGGATACGAGACATGGCTCCCTCGAACACAGCGTGTTGTGCCAGGTGTAACACGCCCCCCAATCTGAAAGGGAGATATATCGGAGAGCTGGACCAGAATTATTTCACATGCTATGCTCCGGTGATTGTGGAACCCCCCGCAGACCTAAATGTCACTGAAGGCATGGCAGCTGAGCTAAAATGTCGGGCATCTACATCCCTGACTTCCGTGTCTTGGATTACTCCAAATGGAACAGTCATGACCCATGGGGCATACAAAGTGCGGATAGCTGTGCTTAGTGATGGCACATTAAATTTCACAAATGTAACTGTGCAAGACACAGGCATGTACACATGTATGGTGAGTAATTCTGTTGGCAACACTACTGCTTCTGCCACCTTGAATGTTACTGCGGCAACCACTACTCCTTTCTCTTACTTTTCTACTGTAACAGTAGAGACTATGGAACCTTCTCAGGATGAGGCACGAACCACAGACAACAATGTGGGTCCCACTCCAGTGATCGATTGGGAAACTACTAACGCAACCACATCTCTTACGCCACAGAGCACAAGGTCAACGGAGAAAACATTCACCATCCCAGTGACTGACATCAACAGTGGAATCCCAGGAATTGATGAGGTCATGAAAACAACCAAAATCATTATTGGGTGTTTTGTGGCCATCACACTCATGGCTGCTGTGATGCTGGTTATTTTCTACAAGATGAGGAAGCAGCACCATCGGCAAAACCACCATGCTCCAACAAGGACTGTTGAAATCATTAACGTGGATGATGAGCTCGCTGGGGATACACCTATGGAAAGTCACCTGCCCATGCCTGCAATTGAGCATGAGCATCTAAACCACTATAACTCTTACAAATCTCCCTTCAACCACACAACAACAGTAAACACAATAAATTCAATACACAGTTCAGTGCATGAACCGTTATTGATCCGAATGAACTCTAAAGACAATGTACAAGAGACTCAAATATAAAACATTTACAGTTACAGAAAACAAACAATCAAAAAAGACAGTTTATTAAAAAAAATGACACAAATGACTGGGCTAAATCTACTGTTTCAAAAAAGTGTCTTTACAAAAAAAAACAAAAAAGAAAAGAAATTTATTTATTAAAAATTCTATTGTGATCTAAAGCAGACAAAATTATGTGTATTCCTCATAACCTGTTTTTGCTGCACTTACTATTTTCCCACACCTCCTCCCTCCCTTCCCTGATTGCCATATTTTTCATAGATCTCAATTCTCTAAAGAACTGGTCTAGGAAATTTTGTAAGAATTCTGTTACACTTTGAGATTTTTATGGTGAATTCTAGTGGTGAGATCCAGTCTATTTTGTCTCTTTATCTCTAATTTTTTTCATTTTTTTCCTTTTTCCTTCATGCCCTTCTGAAGTAGTCCAATGGAGAATGCAATATTAGAAATAGATTTTTAAGAAAGAATGAGGAAGATGCAAGATCTTATTTTTTCATGCATTGATTTGTTCTGTATTTATGAGGAGGACATTCTGTGGAGAAAGAAAAAAAGTAAGCAAACAACAGATTAATTTACATACGAACATCTATAAAACCCATGACTTTAAAAAAAAAACTCTAGTACCAGAATTTGTAGTTCAAAAACTTAAAATAAGATTATAAATAAAATATTGTTGGTTTTTCTGTACTTGGACATAGCTCATTTGTAGCCTGGTTCAAATATGAGAAACCTGAAGGTAATTAGATTCCTTATTTTCTCAGAAACACTTTAACTTAAGCATCATTTTGTACATGTCTCTGCTGTTTTATTTGACTTAAGTTGCCTATCAGTATTCAAGGATGATATGATGCAATGAGATTTCTTCCTTCTCAGTAGGATTCCCCTTGCAAAATCTTCAGGTGAAAAGATATCAGTTTATAAACAAAATGTATTTCAAGTAGGGAGAAAATACCACTACGATATATTTGCGTTTTTCTCATGAGACTCCCATAGACAAGGTGAAATATTGCCACAAAAGTGGAGCCATCCTAATGTTTCTATAGTCAAAGAAAATAACTTTGGATTCTGAGTGTTAGTAAATTTAGTTCAATTCAATGAAGACTATCAAGGAATTAAAATGGACTAATCGGTCACTTGGATAATATGGGTACAAAAATAACAAGGCCTGGTTCCTGCCCTTGTATCATTCCCAAGGATTATTCTCAGTGGATTACTGAGCATTAGCATAAACTTTTGAATTTTGGGTAGGACACAGTGTCCTGGGATCACAAACTCATAAAATATTCAATTATTACTATTATAGAAGTATCCTGGCTTCATGGTTTCTGACATTTTTATGGTAGAGATAACTTTTTCCTCTAGAATGCAGATTCCCAGGGTTAAAAGGTATGAAAATGGCATCTTAGGTATCCTAGAAATGTGGGTCCATACAACAAGATGAGAAGACTGTTGCAATGGTAATTTACTAAGACTTCCCTTAAAGGATCTGTGGAAATTTTAGTTAAGAGGATATATATTGACTTTTTTTTTTTTAAAAAAAAAAGAGAAACCCACTGATTGTGATTGTTAGCATGCTCCTGATATTTCAATATTCTATGTATATGACCTTTATCTTTATGTATGTAGAGCAATATACAGAAAGACAGGCAGACAGGCACGCACGCATGCACACACACACATATGTACACACACTCACACACCTTTTTATTACTGGCCTTGAAACCTGCCCTCTCTACCAAAGTGAAAAGACAAGGATCGACTAAACGGAAGAAAACATAATCTCCTAATGGAAGTACAGCTTGAAGATTCACATTTAATTCTACAGTCTAGACCTCATGCCAGGTTTTGTGATCTCCAGGTGTGAAAAACCAATCTTTTCTTACACTGTAGGTTAGAAAAATGGAGGAAGCAGTAACAAATAAATGCAAGTACACAACAGTCTTTCTTCTATTCTGCAATCCCATTCTCTTTGGCTTTTTCTCCTTTACCCCGTTTCCCTTTGGTGCAAACATTACGCACATGCTTTTACTGTTCAGTAGAAACAGGAAAAAAGAAAGTGTGCAGAGACTGTCATTTGTTGATTTAATGTGTATTGAATATATTTAATGTCTTCCTTTCCAACAGCAGGTAAACTTGATATTTCATGTGGGAGTGCATACATACACACAGAGATGCATACTCACACACATGCATACACTTTTGACTGTCAAACTATGGTATGAAGAAAAGTGTTACTAGCGAGTAGGGAAGTAGGTCTTTCCATCTCTACTTGATAATTATTTCTGATTTATGCTTACAAGCTTCTGTCTACTTACCCTCTTTCCTCTTTAGCTTATGATTATTGTAAGGTTAGACCAAAAATGTTCTGACAATTAACTGTGTAGGGTGGCTAAATAGTCAGGCATATTGTACTAAACATAATGAAATCCAAGCTTGGACTAAAAAGAAACAAGCAAAAAAATTAAGAATAAAATAAAATATAATCTATGTGATATAGCAGCTGGAATATTATAACAGGTGAGAATAACACATTTCAAAAATAAAATATATTGATGGAATATTTAAGTTAATCAAATTAAGTTATATAGAAATATCATATCGTCATCGCAGCTATTGGGATTAAAAATGAAGTGCTAAACATATATATATATACATATATATATATACACATATATATATATATAAACGGCAGCTGAGTCAAGAGTCAAAATCTTTTCTGGCTAATTATATGCATATTTGCTCATGAGTTTGCTAATGGTTTGGTTTTCTAGAGACATATTCTGCATGACTTGAGGAGGAACATCCTATATGATCATTTCAGTTTTTCATCCTATGTAAAAGCACCCAAGTGAGTGGCAGAGTCTGAAAACACACACACACACACACACACACACACACACACAAACACACACACACACACACAAAGTATTGCACTTAGAAACACCTAAGCTAAAGAAACCTGGCAATAGTGTGTGTGTTTGTGTGTGTGTGTGTTTGTGTGTGTGTGTTGTGGGTGTATCATTCACAGACTTCTCTGTAAAGGAGATTATTTAACTTTTTTTTACCTATTTGGAAATCAAATCTTTATACAGTACAGTGACCAGTTTCTCATATTCTTCACCACTTGTATAGGTGGGCATACCTTGGTAAAATGTTGGAAGAATTTGGATATCACAGACACATAGGCACATATTTTTCTCTCATGTCTAAAATATTCTGGAATAACTATTCTTATTTCTACTGCTTGACATAGTTCAATGGGACAGGGAAGCATTATGAGTAATTTTTAAGGAAGAAAAAGGGTTTGCTAATCCATAATAATTTTTAGCCTTATGATTAAAGACTCCAATATCTGGATGGTAGATAAACTCTGTAGGCTATACTATTCTGGGTAAACATATGACAGGAAAGGACAAAATACGGTTACTACCTTGGTCACTGGAAAGACGTAAAGCATTTTAACAATATGAATTAATGAAGTAAGAGAGATACATGAAATGGTAGCTTTAGAGTGCACAGCCTTTCCAGGGTATATATTAACGAAAGTAGAAAAAAATACCATTCTATCTTCTTTCAGCCTAATCTTCATGGTATTTAGATGAACGGAAATCTTAGATGAATGTCTACAAACACAACACTCTATAGCAATGCAGTTTTCTAACAATGCATTCAGTTACTGGTTGCTTCACTCTGCATGTTTCAACAAGGAACTTGAAGTCAATCCTCCAATTCAATTTCAATGACAACATACGGATACTTAGGACATGAGTCATATTCTTCTAGGAAGCCAATTGTTTCTCTTAAAATATAGTACCGCAGAGTTCAATCTCTTAAAAAATAAATCTTCCTCTCATCCCATATTCATTTCATTATTTTATTAGAATGTGATTTCTACAGAGCAGCTACTCTTGCCAAAAAATAGTCTAAAAGGTTGCTTTTGAACACTGGGTTGTCTTCTATTTCTACTATTTTAATAAGGTAAAACTGAGATTGCTTCAAGCTCTCTGGAGGATAGGAAGCCGTTGTGACACTATTGTTTTCTTATATTCCACCAAGGTAAAGAATGAGCTACATCTAGCAGTAGGAGAGACAAAAGAAATTTTCTAAAATTAATGTAGCACACTTGTCAATCAGGGTCCTAAATATAGATAATGAACGAGGCATTCTCACAACATATGCCAGTTCATATCATATTATTTCTTAAGTGAAACTGTGGGAAATTCTGAAACTTCAACGTTTCCTAGCATTGAGACTATATATAAACTATATTTAAAATAATGTAGTTAAATTTTATAATAATTATTCAGCAGTAGTAAATAACATATCTGTTCATTTTTCTTCTGCTTTAAGCAAATAAAAATGAAAAGAGAGCTGTTTTGCTTCCAGAAAGACAATAAGTGAAGTTATTTTGATAAAAGTTCATTGTATTGGAAAAAAATAACTCATTAGCAAAATTTATTATCTGTATTAAATAAGCCTATCCATATTACCCCCGTACAAAATAGCGTAGATAAAAACTTTGGAAATTCAGAAGTAAAATCTTCTTTATTTGATATTTGCTCTAACAATTTAATTTCTATTGATTATTAATATTTCATTTATAACTGATGGTAGGGAATTCAGATTTTTTTCCCTTTCAAATACTATCAATTTTGACTTTATTTGTTTACCCCATGTAATATGTTTATTTTCTTTGTTCTTGGTGAAAGAATGTTCATTAATTTTTTTTAAGAGAAGCTAAACTCAGTTGAGAAAGTGAAGCTCATTCTGATGTATGACCTTTAACACTGCAAACCTCCTAAAATATCCACTTAATCCAACCCTAGCTTGGCTATCATGATGGAAACCTGTGTAAACATTAACTTGTGGATATACAAAAGAGAATTTAGAGTAAAAATTAGTAACTCTCCTTAATTATCCAGCCTTTGATTACCCATTTAATAAAATCACAACATCATTAAATCTAGCATCTGTATTGCAGGTAAATCTGGCAGCTTTGTACCTTGTATAGTATGAGAAATATAAATAAAAAAAAGACAGCAGCAACAACAAAAATCACAAAAAAGCAAAAAAGAAGAGAAATATAGATGATACTAAAATCACACTCACTGCGTTAAAGTACTCACAATGTAACCATTATATACTTTGTGGAATAGCCTTTTTATGTTCATCTCTATAAAAATTTAAAACAAATAATATTTAATACTGTGGGAATATAGGTTTCTTTGGTAATGGAATCATTATAAAAATTTATCTTAATGAAACTTGAAGAAAATCTTCAAGGCTAATTTTGAAAAGTACTTTCAGGCCCTACTGCTATTTCTGGCTTTAATATTTGAGCTTTACAAAAGGAGAGAGAAGGGGGTAATAAAATTTCACTTTCCATAAGTCTTCAAGGCAGATAACACAAGCTTAAAAGATTTCTCAGTGCTAGTGGACTCTTCCAGAAGGAACCTCGGTTAATTTGACCCTAAACACATCAAGTCATTATGCATTTGTTTGAAAAAGTCACTAGTCTTGCAAGCAAACCTTTCTAAACAAAGCAATGGCAACATTTATATATTCCATTGTGGTTTTGTTTTCAATTCATATTCTTTCCAGTGGGAAAGTACATTTTATCAACGGTGTTGCTTTTTCATCAGGATTTATCATTTTCCAAGAACAGAATTAAATCAGAATCTGTCTTTGTTGCTCAATATTTAATTGCATAGGCTCTAGTTCAAAGCTAGATAGGAGAGTAAATTATTTGACATGGTGAGGGTGTGTTTCTGTTTGGTACAGAGAATGATCTAAATAGCTGTGCTTTTGGTTTCAGTTGAGTGAATTTACTAATATAAGGAAAATAAAAATAAAAGAATAAATATGCAGCAAAAGACAGACAGATTAGCAGACAGGTGGCACAGGTACATCAAACCAAAGAGTAAAACTCTCAGAAAGTACCGAGTTCCCAGTCCAGAAAGCCCCAGGAATAGCAAAAAAGATTGGAGAGTTTTCTCTGGTGAAATTTCCAAGTTAAATAATAATAATATAATAATAATAATAATAATAATAATAATAATAATAAAATAACTACAGAAAGGAAACCTCAGCACTTGGGAGGTAGAGGGCAGGCAGATCTCTGTGAGTTCAAGGCCAGCCTGGTCTACAAAGGGAGTTCCAGGACAGCTAGGGCTGTTACTCAGAGAAACTAAAACCCTGTCTCAAAAGAACAAAACAAAACAAAAAAAAAGAAAAGAAAAGAAAAAGAAAGAAGGGAGAAAAAGAAAAGAAACTTCAAGGGATCAGTGAGTCAGAACAAACAGCAGGAATTCCTGATTGACAGGATCCGCTCAAATCTTTCAAAGTATACACTTCCAACTTCTCTTTTCCAATATAGTTTGTTTTGTTGTTGTGTTTATTTTTGTTTATTTGCTTTTAGAGGATAAATGATAGTGACCTTTGTTGAAATGTTTCACCTAATTCTTCTCGGGGATACAGTGTTATTAATACTGTTATATGCTTGATGTTTTTCCCTCTCCTTTTCAGTTAGGAAATGGGTTCTGGAAGACCCTTGACATAAACACCTTTAGATCCTATCCTGAGAGACTACTGATGCCCCTTTCTGAGTCAGCTCTTGGTGATCTCCAATATCACACCACATATACAAATTTGTACATTACAGCAACCTTACTTGAGGCAATGCCTCTTAACTGCTACTCTTAATCCAACTTTAATTATTTCCATATAGAGGGAAAATGTGCCAAGGTAGTTTGTTAAGAAGAAGAGCTTATATAAAATTACCCTTCAGGAATAAGCTTTATTCGGAGAGAGGACCCTAGACCATGGGAATGATGATTGGGTCTTGAAGTAGGGAAGCATTAATAAGGGACAGTACATTAAATTAGAAACACCATGACTGAGACATTAAAGGGAATGTAAAAGGATTGCCATTAAAAACTGGGGAGGAATTTTATTAGAATACTAGCTACAAGCCAGAGTAAGAGAGATCTCCACCATTAACAGGATGATAGGCACAGAAAAGAATTGCCTTAGAAGTCTCCTAAATTAAAGAAAAATGTTAGAACGATTCGAGGGCTGTCAGAAACTTTTGCTCTATGCCATTTACTCTGGTCATAGGACAAGGAGCTTGGAGGAGCCAGGTACTTGGTAGAACCATAAGCTGGAGGTAAGCTGGAGGCTCTGGCCACTGTACATCACAGATCATTAACTCTCAGTGTTCGAGAGAGACGGATAGTGTCATGATCACTGCATCAGTGCTTGGTCTATTTCCTCTAGATTGTGGAATCTGCTAGTTTAGCGTGATCACTGTCTTAAAGGTATGGTCTTGTGATCTAAGAAATATCTAGCATTGTTAACGTTATGAATCTAAAGAGTATTTCCAAGAAGATAGATGATTTTTATAATATTGAAACATCCTTAAAAGATAAAGACTGAAGAATTTTGGAAGACATGTTATGATTTGTCTTATGAGAGATAGATGCTCATATATGTATATATATATATTAGAAATCTATGATAATGAAATGAAAGTCTATTTTATTTGCCTGTAGTTTTATTTTATTGAAATAATCACTAAAGCCTTACTAAATTCAATTAAGAA